GATAATATTTCTTTTGCTGTATAATAACGAAGAGAAATTGACCAACATAATAGTGTTTATAAGTTTCACCAAATAAATAATAATTTAAAAGTTTGTCTCTGTTGCTACTGGCAAAGAACAATGTGGTTAAAAAAAAAAGATATTAAGAATTATTGAAATATGAGGACCAGCAGTTGGAGTAACGGCTATGTCACTGACCTCCCACGTAGTTGACCATGGTTCGAGTCCTGGACCTGGTGGCTTAAATTCATGCCGGGCACATGTGTGTGCATGCCCAAGATCCTGAGAGAAGAATGGAAGAGCAGGGATTGCAGCATGGCCATTCCCCCTGGGGGGGTGGTGATTTCTCTCCTTCTGTCTCTGTCTTTAGCAATAGTGATGGTGGACAATGACCAAATTTCTGCCCCTTGCTCTGCCAATCAGTTATTTTAGGACCTTGGACAAAGCACGTCTCTGAGACTAAATTTTCTAACCTATAAAATGAAGATAATGCCTGGTCATTTCCAGGGACACTGAACCTCTTAGATAGGATAACCCCCTAATAAATGATAAACTATTTCCCTGTGTGGCCACACCTGCAGTCAGTGGTGGCACCACGGTCACCCCTGGGATAGGCACAGTAAGTGGCTGCCTCATAACACATGACTGAAGGACACTTGCAGAACAAGGCAAGTTAGGTCCCTGGGGCTGCCACTAGAAATACCACAAACTGGATGGTTCACAACACCAACCACAGTTGAAGTACAACATTCAAAGAGTGAGCAAACCAAGAGCAGAGGCCAGAGGTCTGAAATCGAGGTGTCAGTGGGGCCGCAATCTCCCCGAAGGCTCTAGGACAAAATTCTCCCTTGACTCACCTAGAACTTGGCATTTCTTTGCTTGTGGAAATAAAACCTCAAACTCTGCCTCTAAAATGGCCTTCTTTTCTGTGTGTCAGAATCTTCCTTTTCCATCTCTTACAGAGAAAACGAACTTTGGATTTAGAGCCTACCCTTGATCCAGGATAGTTCTCTCTGAAAAGACCCTACTTAGATGTAAGGTCAGACACAGAGGTTCTCAGTGGACATGAATTCTGGGGAGACATCATTCAACTCACGACACACACCAATTTCCAGCTCCAGTAAAATGGCACAACCATCTGCGAACCTACTTTGAGAATAATTTGGGATCCAGACACAGGGGCACAGGTGGCAGGGCATTGTGGTATGATGCTAGAACCACACAGGAGGCCCAGAGTTCAGCTCCTGGGTTGACTGAACGCACCCAGCATACCATGGGTCTGTGATCCTGGCTGGCTGGAAAGACAGAGAGAGGATTGTGGTGTGACAAGACCCTGTCGAAGGTTCTGTCTCTCTCTCATTCTAAGTCTCAGACCTAGTGGCTTGCTTTCTCACTTTTTCTCTTTCTCTTTCTGTCCCTCTCTGGTCAAATTAAAATAAGCAAACAAACAAACAAATAAATAAATACAAAAATAAAATATATGAGTAAAGAAAACATTTCTAAATTTATAGGAAGTTAATATGGCTTTAAATATACAAAGTGAAACAACTTTAGAGAAGTAAAAGATTACACAGGCAACCCCACATTTATAGTTGGAGCCTTTTAACTACTTCTGTTTCTTAGAGGTGGGATAAGCAGATGAATAAGAATACAGAAGATTTAAACAAGATCAAGAAACTTGATCTAGTTCATAAATAATACCTAATTACTACAAAAAGCACGTTCTTTTCAAGCAAAACTGGAATATAACCAAAATCGACCATACGCCGATCACACAGAGCAAGTTGGCACAAATTTCAAATAACTAAAGCAATTTAGAAGGTATTCTACCATAGTAGAATCCAGATACAAATTCATCAACAACAAAAAAATTAAAAATTCAAAAATCCCCAAATATTGCACCTTAAGCAAAATACTTTTAAATAACCATGACTAATAGAGGAAATCACACACAAAAATAGAAAATACACTGAAATAAATGAGAATGAAAACACATATTAGAACATCTGGGTACAAAATACAACTGATGGATACAGTCAATAGAAGAAGTTAAGGAATATTTAGAGCCTTAAATATATATTTTTTAAATGGAAAAATTAATAATCTCTACTTTCATATTAAGAAGCCAGTGAAAAAGTGCAAATTAAACCCAAAGGGAATAGAAAGAAGGAAATCATTTTTAAATGGCAGAGAATAACTACACATAGAAAGAAATAAACAAATCTCAAATTTTACTTCTCAAAAAGTCTAATAAAAACCTCTAACAAAATTGGGACAGTTCCATGGCATAGTGGTTAGGAGCTCTTCAAGACAAGCCAGACCCCACAAGTCACATGGCAACTGCAATTTAAATCCCTGGCCTGGTCAGCCTGAGACCATCAAGCACTCATACAAGTATCTGAGATCTGAGAAGCTAGAAAACTAGAATAAGGGGATGAAGATGTGACCAGACCCTGTAGAGGGTGCTGTCTCTTTCCAAACCTTTCACAAATGTACATGTGCTATCATGAGTAAATAAAAAAAAATTAAAAATAATTACCTATCAAAAAAAAAATTACCTCTAGGGACCAACAGATGGTGTAATGGTTATGTTGCTGGACTCCCATGTAGTCAACCATGGTTTGAGTCCCAGATTTGGTGGCTTAAACCTCATGCCGGGCACATGTGTGTACGTACCCAAGATCTCCAGAGGACAATAGAGGAGAAGGGAGTATAATATGACCATCCCCTGCAGTAATTTCTCGCTTTCTATTTCTCTGATGAGCACACATGCGCCCTATAGCAAAACATCTCTAAAAATAAACAAACAAACTCTAAAAAACTAATCCCCAAAAAAGACAATTTCAGCAATAAAAAGAAATACCTTGCAGACATTAAAAACAAAATTAGAGAATATCATAGGATACCATAAACAACTAACTTTATACCAGTAAAACTTGAAACCTAAGTAAAATAGACAAATTCACTGAAACACATGATTAAAACTAATACAAAAAGCAACAGAAAACATAAGCTGAGGTCTATTAAAGAAATAATATTTCTAATAAGAATCTCCCCAAAATATTAGGTTGTCAGGAAAGTCATGATGTATTTTTATGTTTTTCTATGCAAAAATGAATGGGTCATAACTTTCCTGATGCCCCAATATATACCTTCAGGCCCAGATGGCTTTACCAATACATTCTTCCTAATAGTTAAGTAAAAAATAACACTTATCTACCAAAAACTCATCTAGAGATTAAAAACAAAGGGATGATCTCTCAACTTGTTTAATGAGACAAGCATAATCTTGATACCAAAACATTACGAGAACATTCCAAGAAAGAGAAGTTATGGAACAATCTATCTCATAACCAGTATGCATACAGACAGATTAGTCTTTAGCCAAGTATGAAAATTTTTGTATTTTAGAAATTGTGGGGGGAAAAAATGATGCATCCCTTGGGACCAGCAGGTGGCATGGTTTGCAGAGGCACTGGACACTCCCACATGGCAGACCATGGTTTGAGTCCTGGACCTGGTGATGTGCTTTCTCACTTTCTCTCTCTCTCTCTCTCTCTGGTCAAATTAAAATAAATGAATGAATAAAGTTAAATAAATAATTATTTTAAAAAAGATGCATCCCAGATAATATGAGGAGAAAACTGAGTCAATAGCTGACTGTGGGTTTCCATTTCTTTACCTAAGCCAGACTCACTGTGACCTACATCTTACAATATCTTTGCAGAACAATTTTCTTGCCTGGAAGGCTCCTACTCATATCTCTGCCAGGAAAGTGTTCATTTGTCTTTTGAAATCACACATTCAATCAATCCAAAATACCAATAAATATTGGGTTGTCAGAAAAGTCATGACATATTTTTGCATAGAGAAACAGAAAATATACCTCATGGCTTTTCCAATGACCCAATATAAACCTCTGGTGTGTTCCAAACACTGGATGGGTACCAGGGATCTAAGATTAATGAAAGTCAGACCATGACTTCACCCTATGTGATCACTTCCTGAGCCAATGATCCTGCAAAGCCTGCCCTGTGTCGCTCCTTCCCCTATACCCGGAGTTCTGGGTGCACATGTGATATTTGAGAATGATCTATGTGTTTATAGGGTTGCTACTCCAGCCTGGAAGGAGGAGCACAAGAGGAAAGACTAGGTCTGTTCATCTTTCGTTCCCCAGAGTACACCTCAGAGTCTGACACGTAGTGGGAGCTCAATAAATGTTCGATGAATGAATCATTTATTATTCATGAGGCCTTGATGTAGGCAAATCTGTTAAATGAGTCTCGTAATGAATATTAGAGAAATGAAAACCATTACACTTGGAAAAATCTCATCTTTTTGAGACAGTCTTTGTTTTTTTCTTTATTGTATTAGCATTTTATTAACAGTCTAGCAGCTGCTTTAGAAATGCCCGTGAAGCTAATGACAGTGATTTTTAAAAAGATGCATAACATATGTGTAGGTGAAATGATTCCTGGTTAGTCTTTGCAAGTTTGAAGTCATGAGAATCTTTGAAATGAAAAATGAAATGAGCTTTCATTTAATTGGAAGTAGCTATGTATGTAAATGACTTAATATACCAGGGGATGCATTAAGTTCCTATAATGATCAACAATATTCATACAGGAAGGAAAGAAGTAAAAGACATTCATACGATTTGACTTCACAACCAAAGTCTGGCATGTTCTACAAACAGGCGTAACATTGTGTGGATAAAAACAGTTAGTATAAAATTTTTTCAAGTCTGTAAAAGTGAGCTACCTGCCCTTGAAAATATGGGGAAGGAAAATATCAAAACTCTCTTGTGCTGAAAAGGGAGAAGGAGTTATTCTTGTAGTGATGCTAGAGATATTCTGAAGGCTTATTCAGCCTACATATCAAGGTAAACTTGAAGAAAAAGAGTTTTAATTTCCATCTACTTATTCTGAAATAAATAAAATGTTTAGCCTTTACTGAAAATTACATAGAAGAGCACTAAAGAGGGAAAGCAAGGTACCTACTTGGTCTGGTGTTTAGATCCTTTCAGATGGGCATGATACTGTTCTATTGAGTTTAGGGAGACACTGCAGATGGTACATCTGTAATTGCGCCTCAGACCTGTGGATAACAGACAAACCTGGTTAGCTGCATCCTGTCATCACCACCTAAAGGAAACCTAAAATCTCCAAATGTTCAGGGACAGGGTATGAGAAAACTTATGGTTTACCCCACCAGCAGTATTTCATTTCCTCCTTCCATGGCACAGTCAACAGCGCCCTTCAAAGAAGAGTGAATATGAATATGTTAGGAGCAGCCTACTTCATTGGTAGATGGCTGAAATTATTAGAACATTCTTCTTTGAATTGGAGTAAAATGTTTCTGGACATTTTGTAACTCAAAGAAGCATTCTACCATTTCCCTAAGGCATACAGATATAGTACACTGTCATCTCTGCTATAAAAGTTGAGACTTCAGAGAAAAAAACTCCGTCTTAATTCCTTTGCCACCTCTATTTCAATGACTGAATAGGAAATTCAACAGTAGACATCATTCATGTAAATTCTTCTAGGATCACCTTACAAAATGGAAATACCCAGAAGAAGGACAATACATCAATCTGATGTACATGAAGTCTTACTTTTTACCAGAGAGTTGAATAGAAAATCTATTAATTCTCTTGTTTATTTGTGTAATTAATTCATGAATACTGTATCAACTTTGGTCAGGCACTAGGGAATCCAAGTTGAAAAAGATGCTTTTTGTTTTCAAGGAGTTCAGTAAAACTCTTTACTGTTTCATCATATTGACTCATGCAGAGCCAAACTTGTGTTAGACAGGGCATTAGACAACTGTAGCATTTCTTTCTGATTAGTGCATAGTATTTTCTTTCTAAGAGGCAAAGTTATTCTCTGTTTTTCTAAAAAGAAAATAATGCACAATGTGGAAAGGGCTTCACAACCTGCTGCTTAGGTAACTTTATGTAAATTATTTCACTGCTCTGGACTTCCGTCTCCTCATAGTATCGTGGGGCATGTATGAGAGAGTCTCTGGTACATACCAAGTGATCAACACAAGTTAGTTTCTGTTACGATTTTGGAGATGTTAAAATGGACCCTTGGATTATCAGTGTTCCAGTTGAAGCCCCACACTGAGTCCTGAAACACAGGTGAAAACTACACCATGTTACCAGTGTGAAAGAAGAGAGCACCAGTGCGGGACATTCGTGAGAAGTGATTAAGAACCAGTGTCTAGGCCCAGCCTGGCAGTGCCATCCACCATGTTCTGAACTGCAGTGCTGAAAGTTATGTTGCCTACTATGGGTTCAGATCCCAGCCTGACCTAAAAACACCCCCAATGCAGCAAGTCTAATATCCTGTCAAGCCAGAGGGCTAGGTAGAAGGGGACTGGGGTGTGATAAGACCCCTTCAAGGGTGCCCATGTCTTTCTCTGTGTCTCTGTCTCTCTCACAAGTGTACACACTCTATCTCTCATGAATATTTTAAAAAAATAGGAACAGTGTCTAGAGGCTGGATGGCAATGCAGCAGTAAAACAAGATGTTCTCCAAGGTTCCAGTTTTATATCTGGAGACCTCCCTGAACAATCCCAGCATGTCCACGATCCAGGCTTGGCTGGGGCTGAATCAAGGCGTGAAGGCCCTTTTGGAGGTGCTGCCTCTCTCTCTCTTTCTTATGGAGGAAATAAATAAACTTAAAAAAAAAAAAAGAAAGAAGAAGGACTAGTGTTCCACCCTAAGCTGACCATTGACCACCAGTCTATAAAAGAGGTTGGAGGAGAGGGAAACAGGCAGAGACTTCTTAAGAGAGAGCTATGTTGTACTCTGAGTTGCACTTTCTCTTCTCCATGTTAGACTGTGAAGTTCTTCTCCTTTGCCCCAAGCCTATGGTGAAGGAACTCAATGGACCCATCTGGAGAGCTCCAGGAGCACCCTCTCACACTCGGGAAACAGCATACTGGGCTCAGACATACCTGCAAGGTTCAAAGGATGCGGGACTGTGGCTTGTTAGCTATTCTGATGACAAAGCACAGAGGTGGCAGCATTAGCTGGGGCCTTTTCTCAGAGCTTGTCAGAACACAAGGTATATAAAGTTCGCCATGGACTGTGTGTGCCGTGACTGAGAGGAGCTGACTGATGATGTCTTAGATACTACCCAAGGGCAGCCCGGAGTTAGAGACTATGAGATCTCAGCAGAAAGATGCTGGAAGAGTCAGCTGGGTATCCAAGTGATTCAAGTGGCCTAGAGGAGATACTCAGCCCAGCCCATGATAAGTAATGGTGGATCCCTGAAAAATGCACGAAAGCACCCCATGAGGAGGAGAATCAGTCTGCCAACCCTGCCAAGCAGGTGACATCCACGCTGGCTTTGTACAGTACCTGCCAAGTAAACCTTCTTCCCCTTGCTTCTCTAACTTTTTAGCTTGCATCCCTCAGGCCTGGAGAAAAATCAAAAGCTCCAGGCAGAGAAAAGGAGGAGAAGCTTGCCACACTCTCCTTCCCCATGGCAGGTAAGTAACCCCAAGCAGAGTCAAACTTCAGAGGAGAAAAACCAATTTGTAATGAATTCCGGAGATATTTAGAAATCATTGCTCTATCCTGGATATGTAAACTAAGGATACGGAGATTATATGTAGTTACAAATGAGCAGGGACCTTTCGCTGCTTACAAGTGCGTACAAATCGATGAAACTTGTCCTAGTTTTTAATCCAGAAGGTAGGAAATAACTCACCCCACAGACACAACTTGTAATGGGCAAGGGGGGATAAGAATAAAGTTCCCTTCTGATTACGTCACATCCAATGAGTCCTGCTTACTGACTCTAATGTCGTCAGACTTGCAGCTACATCGATACTGTAAACAAAGACCAGGACCTCTTGGAGACTCAAATTCCTGTGACCCAATACACATGTCCGGGAAATCTATTTGAAATAACATATGGTTAACTGGGTCAGCCAGTATAAGGACTAGCTTGTATTAGGTTTCGTTTCAGTCACTTAATCGGTCACTGAATTGCCTAACTGTTCAATTAAGAGTTTAATTATGGGGCGGAAAATACATTGAAACCACAAATATCTGCAGTGTTCTTCAGAAGCAATCTAAGGGACTCAGAATTTTCCAGATGCAGACTGTTTCAGAGATGAAAGCGACAACTGCTGAAGTTCTGTGCCCTCGAGCGATGACTCAAACCTCAGAGTGTGGATGTACCCTCCAACAATCACGCCCAAGGACGACTCCCAAGAAGACTACCGGAGATTCTGTAAGCTTTGGATGAAATCTGAAACTGTTTCAGGAGCTTCAGATCACAACCTCCAGCCCCACCATACACTCAAAAGAACTCTCCCACAGAATTACTCTCCTTTCAGAAATGTGAGTGTGTCAGAAGAATACAGGGTCTTAAAAAATAAGAAACTATTCCACAGAGAACTCTGCTTGCATTGCTGCCAATCCATATCACAGGTGTGCATGATTCAGGAAGATTACCTTGGGCTGCAAACCCTGAGGACGTAAGTTATCACACCAACACATAAGTTGTTTGAGTGCTTACCCAGGGCCCAGCCATTCTCCTCTTTTATGTATGGAATCAGAATATGAAAACCAGTTTCAGGCTTTACTCCCTCCAGAGTTCTCTCTCCATCTTGTCATAAAAAAATGGCAACTACTATTTATAGGGGTCCTCTTCAGACCACAGACTAATCAAGAACGCCTCATAACAAATGAGTTCAGTGTGGAAATAAGGCATAAATATTTATGTTTAAAAATGGGCATTTTCAAAAACACCAACAAGTCTAAAAAATATTCTGATGCGTTGCTCTCTGTAGCAGTTCTCATGTTCTTCAGCCAAAGGGAAGCGTGGGCAGGAAATATCTGGCACTTCATTGCAGTGCAAACTGCAGGGATCATAAACTGGAAAGGAGTGCATGTAAACAGCCCAAATACAGGGCAGGGCACAGGTTTCTCCCCCACACACAACATGGTATCCTGGTGGGAACTTCGTGCTTCATTATTGCTCAGTTCCAATCTTAATTACTTTGAAATTACACGCTTCTTTCCTTAGAGAACTAGAGAATCTTAATAAACCCAAAGATGTTAGCTTTCTTACTATAGACATTTTCAGCACAACACCATATTAAGACTAACCTAAAATTGAGCTAGCAGGTGCAGGTTAAAGCACGGGATCCCACATGGCCAACCACATAGTTCGAGCCCTGGACCCTGCAGCTAAAAAATCACTCTGGGAGCATGTGCATGCTCCAAATCCCGAGGAGACTGGAAAAGAAGCAATTGTAGCATGGCCATCCCTCACAGGGGTGATTTCTCACTATCCCTCTCTGACTCTCTCTGCTGAGCATATATGCCACATAGCAAAACAAACAAACAAACAAACAAAGAGTACCTTAAAACCAGGCCAGCCAGGTGGTATGACCATTAAGCTGGCTGGATCCCACATGGCCAGCTATGCAGTTTGAGTCCCAGATCCTGCAGCTTGAAAAACATGCCAGGCACGTGTGTGTGTGTGCACACGTGCACGCGTGTGCATGTGTGCGTGCACCCAAAATCCCAAGAGGAAAACAGAAAAGAAGGGACTGCAGCATGGTCATCCCTCCTGGAGTTGGGGAAAGGATTTCTCACTTCCTCTGTTTCTGTCCATCTCCTGCAAGGGGATGCTCCCTATGGCAAAAATAAATAAAGTGGCATTTGGCCATCTTATATATATTTTAAGATACTTCTTAAAACATCTGCAGAACTGCCTAATATATGTTAGGAAATATTGTCCCTGCCTACAAGGAACTGAGAGACAGCCCAGCTGAGAGAGAAAAACTTATACAAGTAGCAAGCGTGGAGGGCAGACCATCAGAAGGACCACAATGAGAATGCAGTAACCTGTTATGGGATTTAGAGCAGGAGCTGGCTTCAGAGGATCTGAAAAAGCTTCTGAAAAACCTCGCTTTAGTATTTAAACTTCTACCACGGTGTTTGCAAAACAGATGGTCCTGGATTTTATGTGACTACATAGCATGCGACTACATAGCATGCCTGTTCAAGTCTAGCAAAGTCAGAGGTCCCTCCGACTTCAACAGCATCCACCCTACACTAGAGAAA